TATATATATATATATATACCCAAAATGTAAATATTTCTGATGTAAAAGGCCAGCCCAAACTTCAGTGTGCCTTTCTAGACTGCTTTATTAAACTACTTCTTTGTTCTTACACAGAAACACTGGTAAAAAAAAGCATTTATGTTTATAAGCATATATTTTAATGTTACCTTGTACTGTTCTTTTTCCAGATACTTAAGGAAAACGTGGCTCTGGGCACACCGAAGTAGTCTGCCAGTCCAAACAGGGGTACAGGGAGCCTGTTATCCTCCAAATCAAACACAGGAGGGCAGAGAATGCAAAAAGATGGCTTCAAAATCCAGAGATGGGTCTAAAGAAAAATGAAAACTACATCAGAGTGGAAATAAAGTCATGCTACTAAAGGTGCAGTCACTCAGATCCACCAGCACAGGTATGAAGCGTGCTCCATCACAGCAGGCTATACTGGTTTCTGTACAGGGGCTGTGGCCAGGCAGCCAGCTCATCTTCTGCTTTAATTTCAAGTGTAGATACCAGTGGGTTTCAGGATTGCCCAGTGTGAACACCTACCTGCTCTACAACCACACAACCACGAGCACACGACACTGATGTCAGTGCAAATAGGTGTGTTGGAAGGTTTCCCTCAAGCTAATAGCTACAATTTAAATCTTACTTCAGAAATTAATGAAAGCCAAGTTATTTCATCTCAGTAGGTTGTGGGGTTGAATGCTGAAAATATAATAAAGTCCTGGCGAGAAGACTACAAACCACTAGCCTCATTTGGGGGCATTCTTGCCCACATTCAACAATCCAGCTCATAAACCTGCTGTGTGCCTGGACTGCCACACGTTCACCCCAAATTCAGACTCCTCATGATGTCCCTTTTGCACTCCCACTCACTTCCAAAGGAAGCACATCTCTGCTCTCTGCCCCAAAGGGGGGTTGGCGTCCATGCAGTTTTGAGGAGAGAGAGTCCATTGGTGTAATTATTGTGTTGTTCTCCATTCATACACAAAGCACACTGGCAGAGTAGAAAGAGGAGTCCCAGATTTTCTACAGCTTTGAGCAGAGGTGAATTGACACTATGGCTCTTGTATAAAGGATTTATAGCTTTTTACACTTGCCCAAGGTGGAAATGGAAATGCCCAGTATCCCCTCTCCTGCAGCCTTCCCACTGCTCTAACAACTCCTATTTGCACATCATAGCTTCTAACTGAGACTTCACATTTGACACCTGACCTTTAAAAACCTCTTAGGGCTGTAAAATGTGCTATTGCAAATGAAGGCCCTGCAATTCTCCTCCTGGCTTTGAGAAACTACCACCAGCTAGATGGGGAGTGGTGCTGGTGGTGTTGACATTCCCACAGCACCAAAGGCAGCCGTGTTTCCAGGTTCTGCACACCAAGATCCCCACCCAATCTGTTTGAAAGCATTTCCCAGTAATCCTTCCACCTCAAACTGTGAATTTGTCAGATTTTATAAGCAAAACAGACAGGTCTGGTCAGAGCTTGGATGGGAAAACTCCAAGGAAAACCAAAGTGCTCCAGGAAGTGGTGTGGGTAATTCAGCTCCTGGCATTCTTCCCTCTGTCTGAATAAATATTGAACCAACCTCTAACCATGCTGGTGCGGTAAGAAACATTGTGCTGCTGGTGGAAGATGCAAATCCAAAGGTGTCAGCAAACAGAGAGCTCAAGATGCTGTTTGCAAATACAAGGTTGCTCCTCTTGCACTCTTGAGCAATATTCACAAACAACGCTGTTACATCTGCCTAAAAAATCCCTCTCACTGGTTAAATTAATCAGTGCACCCTCTGAACTCTGCTATTTGCTGTTTCACATCAAAATTGTGCTTTTTTTTTTTTAGCAGAAGAATAAAAGTAGTCTTCTTTTGACTAAACTTTAGAAATTCATATTTATTTTATTTTGTTTTCTGGATTTTAAAACTATTTTTTTACCAAAAGGTCTTGAAAGGTATCTAATGCTCAAAGGAATATAGTGGCTGATCAAAGCTGGAATTGAAAACCAGAAAAACAGAATGCCCCAAGCCTGAAAACTTTTGGAATATAACCAACTTGAAAATGAGGACTACATCTCCCAGTACATGAAGAGCAGGAACCCTCCAGATGTGTGGCAGTGGCTCAGCACAAAGGAGGATGGGGAACACCCTGGGAAGTGTTTGCCAGCTAAGTAGTCTGCAATTCCTGGGACTCACAGCATTTCAAACAGACACGTCCAGTCCCTTGTCCTGCCACAAATCGACATCTTTTTCAGGCAAGAATACCCAGTTTTCTCCCCAGCCTGCACTGGGGAGTACGGTTCCCATTTCTAAAAGGGAGCAGCCTTCCACCCATGGGATTTTTTGGCATTTTGCAAGTGGATTTTGCACAGTTGAAGAAGAATCAGAGAAATTACACCTGGTAGTGGATTCTTCCATCTCCCTGAGGAATCACCTCCTGCGAGCAGCTGGGGGCTCACGCTCCTTTCTGAGTCCAGCACCTCAAAGGCTGTGAGTAGTGGGAGCAGCAGGGTTTAATGACATCAATTACTATAAAAGGGATGTTCTATAGAATAGATGCAAACCCATGGCTGCTTTTTGCAGGTGAAGAATGACTGATGATGTCTACAGGCAGCACTCACCAGCCTAGATCTACAGCTCCCTGAAAGGAGCCTGTAGTGAGGTGGGGGTCGGTCTCTTCTCCCAAGGAACAAGTGATAGGACAAGAAGAAACGGCCTCAAGTTGCACCAAGGCAGGTTTAGATTGGATGTTAGGAAAAATTTCTTCCCCAAAATGGTTGTCAAGCCCTGGAACAGGCTGCCCAGGGAAGTGGTGGAGTCCCCATCCCTGGTGGTATTTCAGAGGTGTGTAGACATGGTGCTGAGGGACATGGTTTAGTGGTTGACATGGTAGTGTCATGTTCATGGTTGGATTCACTGATCTGAAGGGTCTTTTCCAATCTAAATGATTCTATCAATTTATTCTAGGACAGAATGATGTGGAATGGGAAGGAAACATCAAGACACATTCACACAACTTAAAAAATAGCTTCACTCATTTGTTCTATTACAAGATTAATAATTTAGGACTAGATGGAGGGACCTTCACTTATCCCAAGGTCAAAATTCAATGAGCTGTTCCCAAAACCCTTCCATAACAGAGATACTTAGACTTGGTGTTTCACATGGAGCTCATCAGTGACTGGGAGCAGACTCAGCTACCAGCCTTGGCACTCACTGCCCAGCTTTGGGCAACCCTCTTTGTATCTCCATGCCCTTGGCTGTTCTACCTCAACCACACCAACTTCACCAGGGCTCACAAGCTGCAGAACCAAAAGCCACAGCTTGCTAAAGCTCCTTGAAGTCTCTAAAGGAGGGACAGAAGAGCCAGCTAGATCTCTGGGTTGAAGCTGATTTCTCTTTATTGCAAATGTACACATTACACTACTGATAATGCACAGAAATTTAAAAAGCTATCATTTGCTAAAATTTCATGATTACAAAACATCACAAAATCTGTTACAACTAAAAAACTCACCTTCAGGAGTATATAAATAGAATTTTGAGCATAAATAACAGTAACAAAATAAACAGATGTATGTATTCAATAAATTAATTATAAATATTGCATTGGTAATGAAGTGCTAGGTCAGAAGAACACCAGTATTTCCAGCAGAGACTTCTATACAAAAAAAGCTCTATTATAAATGAACCTTTGGAAACAAGTAGAATCCCTGAACCCTTTTCTCACACTGGTTTTTTTTTTTTCTTTTCTTGCTTTGGTTTCACCTTGGATATTCCTTTGTCAAATCGTTACAACAGCAGAACAGAACTAGAGACATCAAAAATCCACATTTTGGCCACGAGTTACTAAATTTTGAGTACCTTCCTTCAAGAACTGCATGGCTGAACCAGCTCTGCAGCATTTGAGTCACTAAACTGTCTCTCCACTGATTCCCACGGATCCAGAATCAAGCCTGGAAGGGACTGGAAAGAATTGTTGATTTTGCAACTGATTTGACCTATACCTCATCCATTTTCAGTCTTTCTCTCCATTTGCTAATGACATAAATGCTTCTATATAACAGAACCTTAATCTAAACACGAATTTGAACTGCTCAGACCCTACCTGATGAACACAGATGCCAGTTCTGTGCACCCTTCCACCCACACACTGCATTCTCACTCACACTAACGAGAACTCTCCACTGGATGATGCTAATGCCACAGCGAATGTAAATTAGCCTTTAAAAGAAATCAAAGATCCAGCTTTCCAAAGTACCCTTTAGCAATAAGGGAAGGAAGAAATTTTCCCCTTTCTTCCCTTATTTCCAAAGGGAAGAAAAAGCACAACAGACAAGCAGAATTGTTTTTTTCAGTGGTATGCTTTCAATAGAAAGTTTCCCCAGAACACTGTCAGCAGCTTTTCAAGCAACAGCGTTCACTCTAGTTTGTGTAACCACATTTGCTAAGTCTTCCTTATTTGTGTTTTGTTCCAAATGTTTGTCTTTCAGGCTCAGGAAGAGGAAAAAGTTTTTCTGCATTTGCTCCTAGGAGTAGAAATAAAAGGTGAGCATGTATGGTAATGAACTTGATGTAGGAAAAGTGTTTTATCATCACCACAGCAACGGAGGAACTCTGAAGAAGCTGCGAAGCTTTTCTAATTTAATCTTTCTTTTCCAAATAAAACTATGGATAAGTAATTCTTTAGACTGCTGAGTAGCCTCCAGGCACTCACCAATTAGATATACAACATACGGCAAGGAAAAGGCTGGCTCTGTGCTGAAACACACAAAAAAAGTTGGAAGCATCACTACATGAAAAGCTAAAAACCCTGCAGTATTCTGCAATGGTTCTTTAAAAACACGTGTGTGAGCAGAGTCACTTCTGAAAGCTGGGGCTCCTCACGGGTGACAGTTTGGAGGTGATGCCAAAGGGGTCCATGCTGTCCGTCTCCAGGGGCGAGGAGAACACCTCTGGTTCAAACGCCTGGCTGTAGTCACCATAGTCACCAAAGTCTGTGGACTCCACGGGCATAGTGTTGATCATAGGTAAGAAGTGAGATAGTGGAAGAAAATCTTTCCCTTTGAACTGCTGTCTTTGCTTGGCACTACTCAGAGACACGGATATTCCGTATTTTTTGGATTTATACACGTTGTACCCATCTGGACGAATCTCCTCTTCAAAGGAACAATCCTCAGTGGAATACCTGAGCTGCAGAGCAAGGAGTAACAAGAATTACAAACAATACACCCACCAGACTCACTGTATTCAACCACAACATCAACCTTGGAGGTGACCAGCCCTTCTCCCTCACTGTCAGTGGGGGCATCCCTCTGGTTTGCAATGGGTGCCCCAACTCAGTGCACTTTGCAGACCCCACTGCCAGATCCATGCTGGTAAGCTGCCTGCTGCTGATCCAGGGGGGACCCACTGCTCTGGTGACTGCTCCTTCAGTGAGGGACCACAGCCACTGAGATGAAGTGCTCTGAAGTGGTCAGGCAGTTGGACTAGATGATTGCTGTAGGTTCCCACCAACTGAAATTATTCTATTCTATTCTATTCTATTCTATTCTATTCTATTCTATTCTATTCTATTCTATTCTATTCTCACATACTATGCCTTTTTGGGTTATGAGGCTATTCAAAGGCCTAATCCAGAACTCATGAAGTTCCCCGTCCATCACATTAAATAAGCTTTGAATCCTGGCTGTGCACTTCTCCACGGTCACCACACTTATCCTGTCCTCAGCACAGGGAAAAAGAATCTCAAAGGACAGTGCTCATTTAGATAAACTGTCCTTAAGTGCTGACAGTACTTAACTGCAGTCATGAAACCTAAACCAACAATCCTCAGGTATAAAAATCTGGCTCTGTTACAGATTTGCCTGTGTATGGGCTTCAGGATCAGCTCTGTAGAAACTGCCCAAGACAGTGCTAACAAAAACATGGCCAATCAGTAAAACAATAACAAAACGGTAATTGCCTTTTTTTTTTTCACTCAGTGTTTACTGAAATTACAAAAGACCAGATAACACAGTGTTATTTTCTCATTACACATTCAGAACCGTCAATACCAACCCAAGCTAAGATTTTGTATAGAAGGATGTATTTTCTTAGGTCTGAATCTGCAGAATTACATCTGTGATACACTGTACAGACAGTATATTAGGAGTTTGCATCACCAGGCCAGACTTTTCCAGATCCTTACACAAGCACCGTATTTTTTACAGCTCTGGTGCTGCTCCAGGCTCAGCCACCAAAGGGGATTGAACTCACAGTCAATAAAAGACAATCACTGCTTATGTTTCAGTCTGCAGTGATAAAAATGTCCTTACAGGACTGCTCTGCCTGGCTGAACAGAGACCATATCTGATACTCTTCAGTCCTCTCTCAAACACTCTTAATAATATGGAGTAGAACTAAGCACACGCACTTGGGTGTCTTTTAAAAGCGCTTTTAAAACTAATCACATAATTTCAAAAAAGGCATTTTCTCCAAATAAATTATGCAATATTTATCCTTCTACACACATATGTCAAAAGAAAATGTATGTATATGATAGAAGTTTATGGCTGAATGGTTAGCTGTCCTGACTTCTCTGGGTGCTCAGCCTCACTAACAAGGATGATGAAATAAAAACGCTTCTTGAGCAAGTGTGCATTACAAATAAGAGTTATTGATTGTGCTCCCCCTCTCTCAGCTACATCATTCCCTCCTCACTTCATTGGGATTGTCTCAAGAGTATTTTTTTAAACCAGTACCAAATGCACTTCAAGTATTTCCAGGTTACTTTTTTTTTTCACAGGAGGAATTTATAGCAGGTCTGTATATTTCCTTTACAGGCTCCGGCACACTGCACACTCAGAAATCAACACTAGTCATCAATTTCCTAGTATTAAAAAAGGGCAGGAGTGCACGTGGCTGCTGAGTTCAGCTCCCAGACACTGTGTATGCCCTTTCGTTCTCCCACTCCTGAGCACAGCACTGATAAGGGGAAGAACTGCCTGCAGAGCTGCCCAGGCTGCCAGCAGAGAGGTGACAGCAGGTGTCCACAACAGAAGATGTGACAGCATGGCTGCATGTCACTGTATTTTCAAAAAATCAATCAACCCTAAGACTCTACACCAACAAACCCACTCTCAGTCAAAGCATACGCCTTCAAAATGATGTTATGTGAAAGCTATTTTAAAATCCTGTGGCTGATGGGAGCAGGATCCAGGCTCTGCTTTGTTTTCATTGATCATTGTGCTTCAGATAGACATTAAAACATTAAGCTAATAATTGACCCACCACACTGTGTGAACCTATGCACATTATCACAGCATTGATTGATTCAAGCCCAGAAAAGCAAGGAAATTCAGAAAGAAAGGCTTAATCCTGTGTTACATGCACGTTCAAAAAACATCACTCCATCAGTATTGCTTTTATTAAAGATACTGGGTGTTTTGAGTGGGTCCAGTCCCTGCCTGCCTGAGATCAGTGGAAATTTTGCCAGAGTAATCAGAGTCAAGCCACGTCTTTACTATGGCATAATAAAAAAACATCCCTCTGTGGAACCCAGGGTCCCCTAAAGCAGCTACAGAGACTGAACCTGAATCGCACCCTTCACATTCTACAGCTGGCAACTCATTCGTGTGGCTTAAAAGACAAGCTTCTATTGCTGATAACGACGAGCTGATAGGCTGACATACATACCTGGGGAACAACCATGACCTCAGAGTGGAGTCACTGAACTCCTCAACTCCGTGGAGTCTCCCAGGTATGCTCAGGTCACAAGTGAGACACTGATTAAGAGTCCTTTGAAACCCTCTTTCTGCTAGGTGCTGCCTCAGAGCTGGTGACCCCGTGTTTCTGGGACTTGCAAGCCCTCCTGGCTACATCTCCCTTCCGAAGGAATAGTCTTTTGTTTTCTTTCCCTGAATACCTGACCTAAACAGCGAAAAATTAGTCACATTCTATAGCGTAACTTAATCTGTTCTGTGGCAGAAACACAGCCGGCCACCAATGAGGCTTTTTAAACGGAAATGCAATTTTGCTCCAGACTGTATCTTCAGCCTATTTTGGTAATAAATGCTTTGCTCTCTAAGTGATCTTTCCTG